ACGAGCGCCTCCTCGTGGAGGCGGAGTACGCTGAGCCAGTCAGCGACGAAGTCCAGACTCCCGAAGAGGAAGGTCTAGAGTGGCACGAAGACGGGAGGAACCCACATCCCAACAGGTGTGAGCGTGGGGAACTCTAGCGAGCCGAAGCGAATTGTATCGCTCGAGCCCGCCATGACGAAGATAGTGGAAAGGTGGGCCATCTGATGACCAAAACCGTGAACGCACGGCGTCCTCCCCACGGACGGCGCCAACTGTCGGTGCAAAAAGTGACCAACAAGTAAATATTTATAGTTTTGTTGTGCATTGTGATCGGATGTGGCCTAGCACTTAATGACACAGGATTTATACTGGTTCAGACAACATGCCCAACGTCCAGTTTCAGTCGGTCGGTGACTTTATTCCTGAGTCCAGATGCTCGAAGTTTGTTGTGGTATTACAAATAAGTAGGAATAAGAAGGAGGTGTTAAAGGCCCGTTCGGACGCTGAACCGAAGGACCGAGAGTGACAGGGGCTCTAATGTGCGCTAAGTATTGGAGCGTATGCTCTGTGTAGCTTTAGAGCTCTAGAGCTATTCGAGTTCTCGGGTCGTTGAGTGCTCGAATCGTCTAACTTCTCTTTTTTGAGAAGAGCCAGAGAGCCAGAGTCAGAATAGCTAGGTCCCTTTTTAGGACAGAGCCCGTTCTCTTTTATAGTCGAAGGGGATGGGCTCTTACGAGTCAGAGAAAGAGAGAGAATGCATACGTGTGCTACCTAGTCTTGTTACACATGCTGTCGGATACGAGACGGTCGTCGGTGTCCATAATACTGTTTATGTCCAGATGCATGTGACAGGTTCTACCATATTCGTCTGGTATGGCAAATGTCAGCGCCTACAATACTGTTTGGGTTCTAACACGCCTGGAAGTTTGCATAGTGCCTATCTGGCATGGCCTGGTGGCACCGTCCTGTAGGTGCGCAGGGTATGACAGGATACGGTTCTCGGTATTGTGGTTTGACTTGAGCGCCTTACCTTATCTGCTCCGCCTGATCTCCCGGACTTTCATCGAGCGGACGTCCCCAGTCGGTCATTTCCAATTGGCCTCGTCCGTGTCGGTCGGGGAAGAGCTATGAGCAGAGATCTGGCATATCCCCACCTTGACCAGGCCTTCCGATCAGAGACCGGATCGTTCTCTCGGCCTGTGATTAGGTATTTGGTCCAGCCTGAGAGGCGCGCGTTGCCGCTACGCCGTCTGCTGAACCGAGTTTTTACTAGAAAGCGGACCCATTAAACACTCCGGGTTTATGAACCCAACAGCATGTGTGCGCGGAAACACCGTCGAACACTAATGTTCCGAATATGACGTCCGGACAGTAGCTAAGTCCGATAATCTTACGGTGGACTCCACGTACGGGTAGAGATCTAGACACTGACAGGGTGCGTCTCGCTGGCTGCGAGATCCATCACTTTCGCACGTGTCTGCCACTAGTATTGACCACACAGCAGCAGGCCCGCAGCGCTGGAGCCTCCATCCTGGATGTATGTTACCTTAGGACCTCAGCCGTCACGATCGACCGAGAGCCGTGGCACCCAGGGCATGCAGCAGGGGGATCCTTGCTTGGAGCTAGCTTCCGATATCGGTCGAGGCCCCCCGTACGTACGTGAAGGTGCAGCTACTGATAAGATAGATCCATTAGGCCACGTTCGGTTAACATAGAACGAGGACCGGAACTATTCCCTGTTTACTCTCTTATACAAATTAAGAGAGTGTTTCGACTGGAATATTTCTAGAGTTTATTCCTTGATAACCGAATGAGGCCTGAAGCAGCTACCTTAATTTAATTTGGCTCCAAATATCACGAGGGTCCAAAGAACGTAATAAGGCCAAAGCAGCGACGGTGAAGTTAAGCTAAACCCGTTTGGAACCGAGAAATTTCAAAGAATCTCACGGGAATTTCATAGAAATCTGCAATACTAATCAATTCATGTTCTTGCTCGCTGAATGAGCATTATCTATCTATGTATTATACTTCGATCCATCCGTTCCAAAATATAGATAAGACGTATTGGCTTTTAATTTCTAGATAAATTAGTTCTATTATGTATCTAAATATAGTATATATTTAAGTGCATAACAAGACCAGTATATCTAGAAAAGCCAAAATATCTTATAATTTGAAATTGTTGATGCTGGAGGAAGTCCGGATCACACATCAGCAGGGTTAGCACGTCCAACGAGGTTGCCAAACAACCTTCACGCAGCAAGAACACGTGAGCATGATCGACGAAACCGATCTAGAGACCGGTTAGACCGATTGTGAGCCCTTTCTTGGTTGAAAAGACTTCCGGACTCCTCCCGAGAAGACCCATCGGGGAGGAGCACGTGGACGTTGCTCTAGACCAGCAAGGCCGAGTAGAACACCGCTGAGAGACGCGACGAACAACAGGAGGGTTTGGAAAAGGGGTAAAGGGCGTAGTAGATGTGCTTTTTGTCGATTGAATAGATGTGAACTCAATCTATCGTGATCCTCTCATATATACAGAGGAGGGTGGTCTTATCCCAGTAGAAAACAAGTCTAAATCGTAACCTCCGAGTTTCCCACATCCAAAAATGACCAAAAGTTGATTTGAAAACAACCCGAATCGGTGTCCAGCAGGGGAGCCGATTTTTTCGGGCTCAGAAGGGCTGAAAACAGGGTGAGTCGGCTTAGCCGACTAGGGCATGAGGAGTCAGCTCAGTCGACTGGACGTAGCTCGCCGTGACTCGCCGTCTTCTCCGCGTGTTTCGTTCATTATTTTGCTGCGCCATTTGACCTCTGATATGTCCTTGATATTTGTAACTTGTTGGTAGTGTCCAAAATCATCTTAGGACATTTTTGAACGTCAGCAGAAATAAAGAGAATATAATAATACAACAATATCAAAAGGAGCCACCATGTTCGCCGAGAGCGTCTAGAAATTTTAATTAATCAGAAAAAGCAAAAGAATATGCATTGTTGGATTCTATGATGATCTAATGGTTTAGATTTAATAAATTAATTAAAAATTGTACTATTGGATTTTATGATGATCTAACAGTTTAAAAGACCCAAGAAAAGTTATACCATATGAAGGTTTCTAAATTCTGGATACCAGAGTCTTTAGATAACCGAGTTCATATTTGATCCTCAAAATCTATCACCTCATTCAGCCACGTCGCCCCTTCTTTGCTTAGCACATATTGGTCATGACCTTTCTTTTTAATTGACCTTAAGATTAGCTATGAAGTTTGTCGCACCTTCTGCTAGGAAAAACAGAGGTAAGGATTGAGCATTCGGCTTGCAAGGTCATCTATTAGGTAGGGCATCATACCTAAGCTACCTTGGTGCTATGTGTCGCATTTCTGGATGCAATGACAAAAAAGCTACCTATTTAGCTACTTCTGTAAAAAAAAGATTATGTTTGGGGCAGTGCCCTGTTACTCTAAAAAATAGATTTGAACAATTAAATGTTCCAAGGTTGAAAGCCATGTTTTTGGTTTTGGATAATTGAGACAACCAAGTGGACTAACCTCTATCCTAGTAGTGTTGTATATGAGATAGGTTATGTCCACATCCATGGTTGAGCAAGGATGACACACATGGTGATGGTGATGGCCACAAATGGTGATCGAGTGCTCATATCTTGGAAAAGAAAAAAGAGAGAAACAAAATCCTATGAGCTCAAGGCAATAGTAAAGATAGAGTGTTTGTTTTCCTGGTCAAGACGAATAGAGCGCGTGATCGGGTTTAGGATAGATTGTTGTAACATTAAGAGAGGAACTCGAAGTTCAATGTGGTTATTTAAGTGCCGCTAGGTGAATTGACTCATTCACATGTGCATTAGGACCTAGTGAGTACATGAAAAACCGTTCAAAAATATCTATGAAAATGCTAACTTACGTGCACAAGTTGCTCTTTGCGGATCTGCCGCGTGTAAAGAGCACAAGAGCCCCTTATAGTCAATCGAGGTGACCTCCGCTGCCTCCAAGCCATCTAGATGGCGGCGTAACAAGAATCCCACAACTCAAACGATCGCTAGTGTCACTAGATGGCTCAACTCAATGTAAATGCACTAGGGTAACTCTCAATCTCACTTAGGATGAAGAAATCGACGAGGAGACGAGTGGGAGATGCGTGCTTAAAGTCTTAAATATTGATAACATACATAAAATTATTTTTTAACGGAGGTAGTAGGATATCATCTATATCATTTATATATAGTTACAAATTAGGCTTTGATGTTGTTTTTTCAAACAAAATACGCCCTATTACATTACATTCTCTTAGTTTTTCGTTGCGCTGCGCTACCTATCAAGGGCAGCGCAAGTAGCATCACGAAAAGTGCATCAAGCCAAATCCAGGTCGCTGCCGTGTTCAGTTCAGCCGATCGAGGTGCTCCTGCCGCAAAGACGGGTACAGTAAAGTCGTCGAGGATTCAATCACGCGCTGCTTTGGATTTGCTTTGCTCTGCTCTGCACCACCGTAGTAATCTGCCGCTTCATTAAGGTCATGTTTAGTTTTCAAAAATTTTCACCCTAAAATGTCACATCAAATCTTACGGCACATGTATGGAGTACTAAATATAGACGAAAAAAACTAATTACACAGTTGAGAGAAAAATCACGAGACGAAATTTTCGAACCTAATTAGTTCATAATTAAACACTAATTATCAAATACAAATGAAAATACTGCCGTATCCCACCCAAAAAAAAATTTAGCCAACTAAACGCGCCCTAACTATCATCCTGTTCAAAGCGAGCGACACGTGAGACGGTTGGCCTAGCCAGCCTTGCTTTGCTGCCCGTAGACTTTTCCGTAGCCGTCGTCAACAACACACTTGCAGACTCGCTCCTCCTCTTCGGCTCTTCCTCCTGGCGTTGAACCATTCCGCCCGCCTCTCCTCCGCAGCCCGCAGCTACAAAGCCCCGTACGGCTTGCGACCTCTAGCTCCGGCACGCCGTCTCCTCCCGCTACCCTTAGCTGCTGCGAACCCCGCCGTACATGGACGCGTCCTCGGGCGACAGCTCGTCGCCGCGGAGCCGGCAGCAGCTCCAGGGCCCGCGCCCGCCGCGGCTCGCCGTCAGCAAGGAATCGCACAAGGTCAGGAAGCCGCCCATCGCGCCGCAGCGGCACCAGCAGCAGCAGCCGGCCGCGCATCAGCACCAGCAGTACCAGCACCAGCAGGTGCGGCAGCCGGTCATCATCTACGACGCCTCGCCCAAGGTGATCCACACCAAGCCGGGGGACTTCATGGCGCTCGTCCAGCGCCTCACCGGCCCGGGCTCCACCGCCCAGGCCCAATTCGACGCCACCGCGGCGGCTGCGGGGCCGTCCGCCGCGGCGTCGTCGTCGCAGTCGCAGCCGGCGGCAACTACGATGGAGTTCGAGCCGCGGGAGTTCCTCCTCTCGCCCACCGCCGCGCTGTCCCCGGCCGCGCGGCTGGCCGCCATCGAGAGGTCCGTCCGCCCGCTGCCTCCGCACCACCACGCGCCGGCGCACGTACCTCCCTACTACTACGACGACGACTTCTTCCTGCCCCTCCCCGCTTCTGGTTCCGGTTCGGCGGACGTGGACAACCTCGCCGCGGCGGTCCTCGGCCCGCCCGCGGGGGCGGGCTGCCCTGGGATCCTCTCCCCCGCGGCGCTCCCTCCGGCGGCCTCCACGGGGCTGTTCTCGCCGACGCCGTTCGACCCGAGCTGCCTGTCGTGGCTGAGCGAGCTGAGCCCGTTCCTCCCCTCCGCCGGCACCCGCGCCGCCGCGGCCGGGCTGTTGGACCAGGCGCCGTTCGCTCCCAGCCCGCGCAGCAGCAGCCTGCTGCTGTCCACGCCCACCTTGCCGTCGCCGGCCACCGTCTCCGTGCTCGAGTTCTTCAGCAGCACCAACTTCAACTTCCCGGACCTGTAAATCTCTGGATTATTGACCTCACAACAATCAATTCTACTGATCGATTCCATTTGCCGAATTGCCGTTGCCGTCCCGTGAAAGCAACTCGAGAAATCATCCAAACAGCCCGGTGAAATTTTCTAATCTCTTTGGCTTTGGTAATTCAGGGAGATGAGCAGGAACTGAAACAAATAGTGCTTTTGTTTTTTCATAGTAGCAAATAGTGTAATGTTAGAGGTTTCTTTTTTCACATCGTGTTTCGTCATCCGTGCTGGCTTTGTGGGTCAGTTGCGAGAGCAAGTTGGCATTCGCCAGTGGTGGGTACTGATTCATTAATTAATTGATTGGTTGGAGTAGGAATTTTCCTTCTTCTCAATCAAGCTTTTTCTGTGATTCCATGGACCGAGGGAGTGTGGTTTATAAACTATGGTATAGTATTTTTTTTTCTCAATAAATTAGTCATATAAATGAGCACATGTGGAAGGTAGGAGGAGGCTGCTAATGCTCTGTCTCTCTTTTTTTTTCATCGTTTATTTAATTTTTTTTATTATTATTAGTTGATAATATATGTTACTTGTAAACGAAGGCGATGCTGATTGATTGTATGCATAGTATAGATATATATTCCGTACCATATAGTTTTTTTTTTTTCTTTACCCTGGATGGATCCTGCGACTTGGTCTCACACTGCCTGTTGGGATTATATCAGCCATTCGATTTCACGTAGGGTGGTTGAGATGATGATCAATCAGCTGCGGCGAAGAAATATGGAACTAATTGGACCCCGAACCAGCTCGGCGTCAGCGAGCTTTGACTTTGTTCCGTGGCGCGAGCGATCGGCTCTGTGACTCACCATCGAGTTGCCCACGAGTGCGCGCCGCGCGCAAGAGAACAGAGAGCGAGTCCGGCTGCTCGGCGCCTCGGCCTAGGGCGCCGGCGGCGGTTGGCGCTCACACGGCACCGCACCGCACCACAGCCGCCCGCTGCCTCGTCGCGCATCGTGGGCATCCAAAGTCTCTTAAGAAGATGTCTCTGACCTAAACTCACAGGGTCGCTCGCGGTCGCGGCAACGTTCTCATCGGTCGCCTGCCGTGCTTCAAAACGAGTGACAGCAAAAATTCACAAGTGTCCCGTTCGAACGGTTGGGTCCGGTCCGTGATATTCATACGGAGGAGAGTTTTGGACAGCCAGCAGCAAATAAATGCATGAGAACTGTTGTCACAGCAAGTGATGCACGGGGGCAGGTCAATCATCGTCGGTACTGGAAGTTATCCGTAATAAAGTCATCAACAAGATCAAATCGATGGCCCTGTTAGCTGCTGCTGACGTTGATGCTGATTTGTTACGAGAAAAAAACATTCTTTCTTCATTGAAAAGTAGCGCAGAAGTAGTGCTGAAAAATAGGACAATCGATATAGGATGTTAGAGCATGTATAATGAGGTAATGCTAAGTATATATAGGGCGTCTGTCTACCCGGACGATGCCGATAGTGGGCCGTGACGTAGCCTAACAACCGTCTCTTATCTCCTCATCCACTCGCCTCCAACCATTCTAAAAAAACTTACCTCACTGCAACGGCGTGATAGCTTTCCGCGACGGCGCTCTCCACCACGCTTCGCTCTCCACCGCGCCGACGAGCCTCTATTCGCAAGCAGCAAGGAGATGTTGCGCTGAAAGTGCATGTTGCAAACACATATTTTAAGTGTTTCAGATGTTTGAGATGTATGTTGCAAGTGTGTTAATATGGATGTTGTAAAAGTAGATCGGGATGTTGCATATGCCGCAAGTGTTTCAGAGGCATATTGCAAGCTTTTGTTCAAAGTGTTTTATCTGTTTCAGACGTATGTTGAAGGGTTTTTATCTGGTTTTGCATATGTTTCACACATATGTTGCAAGAGTATGTTCCAAATGTTTCAGTTGTTTCATTCTTATGTTGCAATAAGTGTTTTCATGTTGCAAATGTTTTATCTGGATGTTGCATATGTTTGATACATATGTTGCAAGTATATGTTCTAAATATTTTATCTGCTTTAGACTTATGTTGTATTCAAGTATTTCATATTGCAAGTGTTTCATGTTTCAGAGGTATGTTTAGAGAGTCATGGGGCATGGCCCGGGCGCTGGGGAAGGGGCGCGGTGAGCCGGGGCCGTCAGCATGAGGTCTTGCGGATGGGGCGTGCTTGTCCTCATCCGGGCTCCGGGTCCCGCCCGTGCGGAGAGGGAGGAGGGGGTATGGGGGAAGGAGTGGCGGGCGCAACCAAGGTGCACGTGCGTGTGGGGTAGGGAGAGGTGGACAGGGGCGGGATACGTGTGTGGGGCGAGGCGGGGCGGGACGAGGCAGACGGGGGATGGACTAGCGCGTGCAGCAGCGATATGACGCAGCGGCTGGCGTGGGTGGGCGGGCTGGAGCAGCAGCAGGTGCAGGGCATCCAAATGCACTCATCTGCTCCAGACGTCCGGACGCTAGTAATTTTTTTGTCTCAATACTTCAAGTATAAGTTGTGATATCTAAACTTAAACACAAACTCACACCCTATGCCACACACACTATGCGCAATCTAGACATATACCTATATCTAAAGACACAGACGTGGCTGAGAGGTACTTGAAGATCGATGAACTCCAAATGTGACGAACACAATACCTCGACCATTAAGGAGCATCCGCACTTGAGGCTGAAAAAATGAAGGAAAACTCTAGTTCAAAGACCTGGTCCAAGCGACGCTCGAACCCAGGCTACGGGCCATTATGGAGCATCCGCACTCGAGGCCGAAAAAAATGGAGGAAAACTCTAGTTAAAGACTGGTCCGAGGGCGCTACCACCGAATGCCCCGACCACTGAGCCAAAATCCCTGTACAACGCGGCGTTTTCACCCATTTGTGTGTTGTGCATTTTGCGAAAAAGACCTTCGCAAGTGGGAAACGGGATGAGGTCGTCGTCTCATTATGGGATCATCATCTCTTCACCTACAGAGGTCTGCGTGATTAGCATAGGTTTTGCTTGGTATATAAAAAAAGCACAGGTTTTGCTTACCTTTTACTCTTTTAGATCTTTTTTATTAGCTTCTTAAACATGCACACCGTAGTCGGAAGACGGATATAAATTACTCTGCGGTACACCTACATGATAATATTAAAGCTCCATGCTACATTTCTATCTTTATCTTTATCTTTACCCCTATAATACATCACTTCCAAATTGTCCTAAAATCACCCAAACAAATACCACATTTATTATCATAAACTAAACTACGTTAACTCCATAAAACACACACAAATAAACAATACTAAAAAAAATATATACAGATCAGATTAACTCTTTCTCTCCCCTTATTCAACGCGTCCGACGGTCCTGTGCCCCTCAGAATCGCGTCGCAGCCCCCCTCACACTCGCGACCCTCTCATGCACGCCGCACGCCGCGAGGACCGCCCCACGCCTCCCTCACGCTCGCGACCCCGTCACGCCCCTCATGCCGCGTGACTACCTCACACTCGCGACCCCGTCACGCCGCACGCCGCACGCCGCGAGATCGCCGAGAGTGGTCGGGCGTGTGACCACCTCAGGACGGCGCGGCAGAGACCGCCGGCCCGCCTCACCGTCCCCATCCCTCCTGTTGTACCTGCGGATATATGCGGCATCCGTGTGGGGCGCCGCCGTCGGGGCGCTGCCGCCGGGGGCGCTACCTACCCCACCCTCCGCGCCGTCGTGATCTTGGGACCCGATGCGCTCGCGGCGGCGACGGCGCCGCCGGCCCAGCCGCCACCACTTGGCCGGTATCCTATGGGCGAGGTTCATGGCCACCACCTTCACACGCACGTGAGTACTCCTTGGCCCAGATCGGTTCAGACTCGTGTGATTCGTGATTATCCATTTTGATGGATTCGTTTCCTTCGTGTGATTCACTTTCCAATCCGGATCAATCTGCGCTGGAAGCCCCATGTGAATGTCGGCACCATTGGGTTGGCAAAACCACTTTCACAATTTGTCTGATTATGCGCTTTTGTTTAGAAATATCTTTTTTATTACTAATCTTGCTAATTGTTTTGATTTCGTGTAGGTCAATATTCAAATTTATTCAGGGAACAGGCCTTTGCTTCTCGGAGTATTCCAGTACACTTTCATCAGCTGATCCACGATGCTGTAATTTGCTCCTTTCTTGCTGCTTCATTTAGTTATGGGCTTATGGCTCTATGCCTGTATGGTTTTTTAATGAGAGGATCCTACTAATGAATATGATCTATTATTTTTTTGCTGGTGCAACTTTACATGTTTCTTGTAGGAACTAATTACAGCTTTGAAATAATTCTGTTTTATATGAAAACAAAATGCTTAATGAAACATTTTCTTTCATTGTTGAACTGTACTTTGGGTACCATATTTGTATAGATCCCATCAGAGCATCACTTTGCTTGCATTTTTTATCTATTATCATTGTCCTTTGGCTATGCTAACGGGTCATCTTTTCTGATGTTGGTTCTTTCTGTTGGGTTATCCATCATATCGTTGTTAGTGGATGCGGCGGGCCAGCCTGCTCACGCTGCTCGGGATCTGTGCCTCCGCCGAGCGCCGCGGCGTGCTCACATTTTTTATCTATTATCTTTGTGCTTTGGCTGTGCTAACGGGTCATCTTTTCTGATGTCGGTTCTTTCTGTTGGGTTATCCATCATATTGTTGTTAGTGGATGCGGCGGGCCAGCCTGCTCGCGCTGCTCGGGATCTGTGCCTCCGCCGAGCGCCACCGTGTGCTCCGGTCCCAAGGGTGAGTTCATCAAAGGCGCCTCTTTTTCTGACAGTTATGCCCCGCGCGGGATCTGCTTGAGCTGAAATGTGTCATTGGTTTACTCTTACATTGACAGTTATGCCAACACTGACGCTGTACTTTACTTTAAGTTAAAAGACAAAATAACTTGGTTAGAATAAGATGAAGGTGTGGGATATCTGTTGTTCTGTCTAAACTGGGCTTGAATTCTTGGAGCAAGCTCTAATGGCAATTCATTTCTCTAAGTCCATCAGAATAGTT